AATGGGGAAGATTTTGGGAGGGTGGTGGTGGTATGATGTGCACAGGGAATCAGGATTTTGATTTTGGACTTGTTGAGTTTGAGATGCTCATCAGACATTTAAGTGGAGATTTTGAATAGTATTGTCAAACTTAAAAATCAAATAGCCAGTTATTTTACCAGCAAAAATGAGTTTATTTGGGAATGGCAGAGGAATTGCAATTTGGGACACTCAAGTTATGGCAAACCATAGACAGGTCCAGAGAAGAACATTGTAAAGAAAAAGGAGGGAGGTTAAGGATGCTGTTATAAACAAAATATCCGTTGGAGGAAACTGGGAGTTCAGATGTAGTGACTTCTCATTGGCTGAGCCATGCTGTTTCTCATTGGCTGGGTCTGTTGCTAGGCAAGTAGAAAATATTTCTCCTGTTGGGAGTGTGCAAGGTGTATTAAGTAGTGTGCATGAGAGCTTCCCCTTCAGGATTTTCCACTCCATTAAAAAAAATAAAAATAAAAAAGTATTTATTGATTTTTTAAAGAGAGGGGAAGGGAGAGAGAGACATTGATGTGAGAACCATCGATTAACTGCCTCCTACACAATCCCTACTGGGGATCAAGCCCGAAACCTGGGCATGTGCCCTGATCAGGACTTGAACCAGGACCTCTCAGTCCATGGAATGCCGCTCAGTCCACTGAGCCAAACTGGCCGTGCCCCACTCCATTTTAAATAAGGTTTCTTTATTCAGTTTTATAGTACTATACAAACCTGGAATCCTGGACAGAGGTTTGGACTGGCCACTTGGCCCAGTGTGTAGGTTGTATTTAGAGCCATTAGACTGGGGTTGGAGGACTGAGGGTGCCATCTCCCAAACTATTTGATGAGCCCTGGAACATCTAGTGAACTCACAGGGGTTGCTGTAGGATATTTAAAAATTTCCCGGAAAATCCCTGGCCGGTTTGGCTCAGCGGTTAAAGCGTCGGCCTGTGGTCCGGAGAGACCCGGGTTCGGTTCCCGCTAAGGGCACGTACTTCGGTTGCAGTTTGTCCCCGGTCCTGGTTGGTCGTGCAGGTGGCAGCCACTCGATGTGTCCCTTTCACATCGATGTTTCTCTCTCTCTATCTCTTCCTCTCTCTCCCTCCCATTCTATCTGTACAAAAAATGGAAAAATGTCCTCGGGTGAGGATAAAAAAATAAAATAAAAATTTCCCGGAAAACAGAGTGGTTGGTATGTATGATTGTCATGTGTTTTTTTATAAGTTTTAAAAACCATGTTTGAGATGTGAGTATGTATGTATTTTGTATGTTCCTATGCAGCTGGGCTCAGTTTTGTATATGTACCTATTGTGTCTCACAGAAGAAAGCATATGTAAGTAAACAGAAAATTAATGTTTTACTCTAGCATATCAGTCCATCCCGTATAGCAAAACTGATTGTACTTAATTAGAAGCTCCTGGAAGGTAGAGAATCTGCCCTGAAAACAAGAGAACTGCTGCCTAGAGGCCCAGGAAAGTTCTGATAGAGATTTGTGCAGAATGTCTTTTAAAAAAGAGGTTTATTTATGAAACTTATGAATATTTTGAATTATTTCTGTAATATAATATTACATTCTTAAATCTTAAAAATGTTTAAAATTAATTCCATGGGTTAACATTTGTTGCAAGAATTAATGAGTAAGTAAGCTGCTTTCTTTAAAGTGAGTGTCTTGCTCAACTTTGAGTTAAGATGACTCTCAGAAAACTAGGGAGATTTGGGTAATAATGGATGCGATCAGACATCTTTAGAAATACTATTATCTAGTAAATAAGTGCTAGAGAGATTTAGAACAGTCAAGGGAATTTGTTCAAACTCAGAAGAGTATGAACACCTATGAAGTTAAATTCTATTTATTATTAGCTGAAGAAAATATGTAATAAAATGAAGATTGGGCCTTTAGGAGGAGCTTAAAAACAAAAATTACAAGTCATGTTTGTTCTGCCTTTAGAAGAGAGGGGATGAGTGGCAGAGGCTGAATCTATTGTATTGAGTATCTTGGTTCTTGAGGGGGTGAGGTATAATCAGTTGTGGGTCAAAACTGTATTTCAAGATTTATTATAGCTTGGTTGAATTCTGTAGATGATTCTTCTTTCTTTGCTTTTTTCTTGTGTAACCCAAACCTCCTGGTTTAATCATTTTAATGCCAGAATAGGGGATAATATGAGTGGAAGATTCACATATTCTAATTTCTGAAATTGGAATTTTGATCCCTATTGTGACTTAAATAGGCACACTATATTTTAGTATGAGCTAGCTTTGGGAGCTTCATTAACTCGGAGTGCAGTGATATAAGTGGGTTTCTGGTTCTGTATTAGTATATGAAGCTGTGACTAAGTGGTCATCTGTATGATTCTCAAGATTTATAATTCTAACAGTAAGGAGGTGTCTTGTTCAGGAAACCAGACTATTTTTTTAAAGGCATTTTGAGATATGCCTTTTTTTAAGACCAAAAAGAAAATTTCACCATAATTTGACTTTTTTTCTGATAAAATTTGCCTAGTATTTAGGGAGATTTCTATTTCCTCTATTCCTAGTTCCATGCTAGGAAAAATGTCAATTTCAGTGTTGTTTTTCTTTACCTTATGTGGCTAGCTTTTGTTTTCATGTTAAATTCAATCGCTATCTTTTGTTTTCATGTTAAGTTCAATCAAAGATAACTTTTTTTCCTGTTTGACTTGCCTGTTTTTTGTTTTTGTTTTTGTTTTAATTCTCACCCGAGGACATTTTTCCAATTTTTGTACAGATAGAGTGGGAGGGAGAGAGCGGGAGAGAGAGAGAGAGAGAAACATCGACGTGAAAAGGACACATCGAGTGGCTGCCACCCGCACGACCAACCAGGGCCGGGGACAAACTGCAACTGAAGTACGTGCCCTTAGCGGGAACCGAACCCGGGTCTCTCCGGACCCCAGGACGACGCTCTAACCGCTGAGCCAAACCGGCCAGGGCTGACTTGCCTGTTTTTTGTTCCTCTACTGATGTTCTTCCCTCCCCTTCCCCATCTTTCTAAGTGAGAGTCTGTTATAAGGCATTTACCTGTAGCTTTGATTTGTGTGTTCCCTGTAACCATGCAGGAAATTTTGAACTGAATGGCATCAGATAGCCAAGGCATCACTTTTCTCTTTCCATCCAAATTTAGTTTTAGTAATGAAAACTTAGAAAATACTGTACACTTACTACCAACAGTGAAGTGACCTCAAGAATAATCTACCAGTGTTCCTCCTTTCCCTATATTGTCTCAGCCTCCCTTTTAAGTTTTTTTTTTGGGGGGGTCTACATAAATACAAGTCAGTTCCTGAAGTAAGACTTACTGCAAAATGCTTTCATAGGGAGAACTTGGTGTATTTATTTTAATCTTTTATAACTTAAAATATGTTGTGTTTTGAGTTTTCAGTATGTCAGAAGATGTCAACCTTTGAAGCAATGGCAACATCACTACTGTGATCTTGAGCAAATTTCAGTTTCTGAGCTTTTATCTCCTTTTTGGCACAATGGTTGCAGAGGTACAAAAACATTGAGGGATATGAGGTTTGTGGTGACATGAGGACCACAAGGGGATAGGCATGCAGAGACGGGGAGAGAGAAGGAGCAGCTGAGATGCAAATGAGTGTAAGAACAGAAAGAGGGACAAATAAGATGTTTGTGAGTGTTTTGTAGATAAAAAATATTCCTTTACAGCTCAGGTGCTGTTATCGTTAGGGAACATGTGCGTGTGTGTTTTCTTTTTCCACTGAGCTATGGTTTGTTAGCTACAAGGCTACCTTTCCTAAGGAGTGGGGATCCTGCTTTGAGGATGGAAAGGAAAAGTAGGATCCACGACTCAACAATTTCCAGCAGTTTGTGCATTATGATTACTGCTACTTTATTTGTTGTACCAGTGGTCTTTTTCTATAAGATTGGCAGTAGGAAAGAGGAATAGACTTATGACTAGAAATTTGAGGTGAGGGAGTTTTATATCATTTCTAACATGTTTGGCTTTGCTTTCTGGTATGCACAGTTTTGCCATCTATAAAATCTAGCACTGAACTCTGATCTTGGGTATCAGGTTCTCTTTTGTGGTTTAGTTTGTTAGTAATTGAAGTACCTAAGGGTTCTGGGTGTGAACTCTGCACACTTTATAATTAATTTAGAGCCAGAGAAGTTAGGTTTTTCTGTTGAAGTGATTAATGAAGCACTGTGGCTTCAAACTAAACTTTTATATATGTAGGAAATTTACAGGAAAAACCAAAACTTGATAAAAGGACAGTTTTTTATAACCCTTAAAGATTGAAGTATTTTTAAACTTCTTGGTGTGCTCCTCCTTTTTTAGTTTGGGTGTGTAGGAGTCTGTTTATCTGAAATTTTGGTAGAGCTGACTTTTTATTTTTTATCTTTGTAAACATGAGCCTAGACAGCTGTGTTTAATACAGTAAAGCATCACGGGGAGACTTTATAGTGTTTCTTGTTGGGACTTAGTGTCTGTGTATTTTAGTATTTAAAGGATGTGGTTTGGGGCTTTGAAAATGAGAGAGAGGTTGCCTAACTCATAGCTGAATGGCTGCATATGTAGTTTGTTCTGTCCTGGAGGTTATTAAGCAACATGAATGTTGTTTTTACCCTAGTTAAACTGACAGTATTAAGTTAAATAACTTTGTTATGGAAGTGTTTATTTGCACATGGCTAGTGAGTAGGATTTTCTTTAAAATCTGATATTGCATTGGAATGATTTAGGTAACTAGAGTGCTGGAAAAAAGCTATTATTCAAGCCAAACTACTTCTTGCTTCGCAGAAAAGTAAACAAGATTAAATGTTACCACGGTCTGGAGAGTGTCCTCTCTGTCTTCACCTTCTCCACTTCCCATCTCTGAGAGAGCAGGTCGCTAAGATCAGGAAACTGGGTGGGTGGAGTTGCTTAATTGCATCAACTTCCTGGGCTGCCCAAGTATTGATTAGTCAGATGCTCATAATGTTCCACTCAAGAGATTCTTGCTGATTGGCTGGTTTCTTTTAAGTCCTTAGGTTTGACATTGATTTCACTCTGACGAACGTTTGCCATGTACAAGGCACTGAACTGCGTGCCCTGTGAGAGATACAGAAAGAATTAAGACTACACCTACCTTTCAGGAGTTTACATTGTAGTAGGGGAGATGAAGACATGATAGACCATGGTAAGTGTTCGAAGAGAGGCACAGTTCTGGGGCTTCAAAGGAGGCATGTAGTATCCATTCTGTAATATTGATGGGTGGGGATGGGGCAGTGGATGAGACCTGGATAGGGAGGAGCCCAGTTGGGGAAGCAGTTTCAGTAGTTCAGTGGGTAAAGAATTGATAAAGGTGTTAATAGGTAGGGGGAAAGGGTCAAATAGCCACTGTGAAGGTGAAAGGAAAAATAGGAGGAACTAAAGCATCTCTTAATCAAAAGCTCTGATGAGATTCACCCCGAATTCTGTGAAAAATTGTGTGTATTCCGGTATTTTTCTGGGACAGAGAACTCAGACTTTTTCTTAGATTCTGAAAAGGGTCCAGGGTCTAAAAAAGGTTGAGAACTGTTGTGCTAAGTCAGCAATTTTCAGCCAGTGTGAGGTGGCATACTGGTGTGCCGCAAGAATTTTTAAAACATGCAATACCTGACTAGTCAGCGGCACTGATCTGTTTTCTCTTAGATTGTCAAATAAAAAAAATGACAACAGCCAACACAATAGTGGCATAGTGTGAATGAATCAAAATAATACCTATTGTTTTGTCAAATCAGCAAAAATATATTTTTTTGGTGTGCCGCAGAATTTTAGTACTAATTGCTTTATAAGTGCCTTGAGATGGAAAAAATTGAAAATCGCTGTGCTAGGTTAACAACCTTTGATGACTGGGGAGATGCTGATTTTAGAGACTCTGTAGAGAAACAGCAAGTCAATAAAAGTCTGGTAGAACAGACTTTTCCTTGGGAGGTAGAGTGGGATTTGGGGAACTGAGCTTATGCAGTGTTCTCTAGAGGGTGTCAGGCTGCCTTGTCAAACTGGGTTTCCCATCCAGCAAATTAGGTGGATCCATTAGAGACTGTTAGACAATGAAGGGCAGATGTTTTCCAGTTAAAGGAGTTCATTAGCATTTCCCCCTTTATTTGGAGTTCAGATTGATGAAGATGTAGGAGACTAGGATGTTGTAGAATAATTCCTGGCATTTACTTTTCATGGAGCTCCTCTTATGTGTAATGTGTTCTGTGCATGATCTTGTAAGGGAATCTATAAAATATCAGACAGGGACCCCTGCCCTTCAGGAGTTGATGGTATTGTAATGCTTTCATTTGGGCTTTCTTTCACCTTGGATCTGCGTATATTCAGTTATATTTGGGTCTTTAACCATTTACTGGGTAAAGAGAAACATTTCTATTCAAATGAAATTGAAGTGACTTTGGTTTGTGACTTATTTTTCCTTTTAAAGAATGGGGAATTATTGGGATTTGAGGATTTAGAAAATACAATCATAAATATACTATACTTGTAATTAAGAACCTCTGTACACCTGATTTGGTGACTTTTAGGTAAATCATTTGACTCTTCTGACTATTAATTATTCATTATGTAAGTGTGTGTGTACACATGCACACACAGCTTTATTTAAAATACTGTAAAGTACATTTAAAAAAATGACCCAGCAGTTAGTGTTCTAGAATGAACTGACACTTGTATATGTGATCATTAAATTAAAATATTATTAAATTATGTCATTAAATATATATTAATATTTATAAGTATATTCATTAAATATATACTGTGTAAGTATATACTCATTAATTATATACATGATTTATATTATTAACTATATACATTTTATATATCTATATTGTTCATTAAAGTTATTTATTACACTTTAATTGGTTGATTTCCACATTTGTAAAATGGGAATAATAATAATAATAATAATAATAATAATTGTATTGATCTCATAGAGTTGTCCTAAAGATGAAATTAATTAATACATATACATACATAATGAAGCTCTTTCTACTAGTGTACAATTTAAGTGCTCAATAAATATCAATGGCTACATTATTATTAATAATACTGATATTTTAATATTAATGCTACCATTTTTCTCTTCTCTATGTGTGAATGTTATAAAAAGATCTACAGTGACCTATCTTTAGATACAAAATTTCCTATGAATTTATTTAAATGTTTAATTTATATTTTTCTTAAAGTTATGAAAGTCAAATGCACTTATACAAGGCAGTTTCGGGTATTTATTAAACTGCTCATCTACATTGCAGAATGAGGGATTAAAAGCCATATGTGTAATTAAGAAATGTACTTATTGGTCATGACCACTGTTGGCTTTCAGTTCTTTTTTATTTGACTGCTTGTGTGTTTGTCATCCTTACGTTTTTTAAAATCTTTCTTATTGCTTTCTGATTTATTTCCTGTCCAATTTTCAGTAAATGGGTGTGAGTAGGGCAAGAACTTACATTGGTTGGTGCTCTGTGTCTGAAGCAGGAAGGAATGGATGTATCAGACAGCTTGTGGCTTGCTGGGGAGGGACTTACAATGAGCCATACAGAGCTGCCCTGCCCAGGGAAACACCGAATTCCAGTTTCTTCACTCCAAATCAGATGGTATGCAGCTCTACACTGTGTGTGCATAATGAATATCTCTAGGCTCATTCATCCAGTGTTTTCCAAATGTTTCAATTTATTTCCCTTTTTAAAAAAACCAGTAATTATGGAAAAATTTAGTTATGTACAAAAATACAGAAATAGTAGAGTGATAAACCCCCACTTAACCATTACCCAGTTTCATGGCCATTTTTGTTTGATGTATTCCCAACCATTTCTTCTCTCCCATATTGTTTTGAAGGACATCTCAGCTGTCATATAATTTAATCTAAAAATATTTTAGGATGTATATCTAAGAGACAAGAAGTTAAAAAGTCATACATACATGTATACATACACATATATATATATTTTTTATTAATCTTTGTTACAGATGTTTCTCCTTTTTTTCCCCATTGACACCCTCCTCCCCATGCCCCACACCCCATCCCTGGCTTTGTTGTCTGTGTCCATCGTTATGTGTACATGCATATAAGTTCTGTGGTTTATCTCTTCCCACCCCCCAACACTCCCTCTTCTGAGGGTTGTCAGTCTGTATCCTACTTCCATGTCTCTGGGTCTACCCTATTCCTCAGACTGTTATGTTCATTATATTCCACAAATAAGGGAGATCATGCGGTATTTGTATTTTTCTGCTTGGCTTGTTTCACTTAGGATAATACTTTCTAGGTCCCTCCATGTTGTCTCAAAGGATAAGAGATCTTTCTTTCTTACAGCTGCGTAGCACTCCGTTGTGTATACGTACCACAGCTTTTTTATCCATTCGTCTACTGATGGTCACTTGGGCTGTTTCCAGATCTTAGCTATTGTAAATAGTGCTGCAATGAACATGGGGGTACATATATTCTTTCTGATTGGTGTTTCAGGCTTCTTAGGGTATATTCCTAGAAGTGGGATCACTGGGTCAAATGGCAGTTCAATTTTTAATTTTTTGAGGTAACACCATAGTGTTTTCCATTACATACACATATTAATTTTTATATCTGTTTGATTCAGGATCCACATATTTGATTTAAGTCTCTTAATGTACAGGCTCCTCTCTGTCTCTGTTTCTCTCAGAATTTGCTTGCGGAAACTAGCCTTATTTTGTTCTATAGTTTCTTCCAGTCTAGATTTTGTGGTTTTACATCTCTTAGGTGTTCAACTTATTTCTCTCTTGTGTTTCCTGTAAATTGGTAGCTGACTCTTAAGTATTGATTATTTTTAATGCCTTTGCCCCCACATTGGGAACATGTAACATCTGGTGTGTTTCAGTTTTGTGATGTTAGCAGCTACTGATGATCAATGCCTAGATCTGTTAATTCACTAAAAGTTGGAAAATGGTAATATCTATTTCTGTCATTATGTTTATTTTTTTATTTTTATTTTCTTTATCCTCACCTGAGGACATTTTTCCATTTTTTGTTCAGATAGAGTGGGAGGGAGGGAGGGAGGGAGAGAGGGAGAGAGAGAGAGAGAGAGAGAGAAACATCGATGTGAAAGGGACACATGGAGTGGCTGCCACCCGCACAACCAACCAGGGCCGGGGACAAACTGCAGTCGAGGTATGCGCCCCTAGCAGGAACCGAACCCGGGTCTCTCTGGACCGCAGGCCGACTCTCTAACCGTTGAACCAAACCGGCCAGGGTTTCATTTTTTAATCAAAACCTATTAGGAAGTAAAATTTTATTTAAGTCATTTAATGTCTTTAAATTATTTTATTTTGAATTAGTGTTCTTTCTCTATGGCTTTTTAGCAGTGATTAAAATATAGTACAGTACATGATTTGGGGTTGATATAAAATATACTGTATTGGGTAGTTGATTACTGCAGAATGACTTTGGACCCATGCAGGTCATCTAGTTAGGAAGTTGTGTTAGAGTGCTTACTGATGGTTATTTCCCAGCTAAAAATGGTAATTAGGGATAAATATACACTCTAATTAGTATGTAACTTCTGTGCTTGTATAATATTACAAAGTACAGTTTTAAAGTCTTACCCACTTATGTCAATTATTATTTTTTTTAATGAGCTAATGTGCTTGATTTTCTAAAAATCAGTGCTGAGCTTGATTTGGAATTGGGAATAATAAAGTTTAAAATACGTCTCCTTAGTACAGTTAGCTTTGGTGTTAATTTATTGAAGACCGTAGTTTCAAAATTGTGCTTGTTTCAGTTTTTTTGTAAAATTATAGGAGAGGCTTGGAACATAATTTGAATTTTTTTTTTTTTCTATTTTCTAGTTAACAGTATGTACCATTGCATAACTTCTGCATTTTACTTTTGAGTATTGTCCAAAGGGGTCTGGTGCCCACTTGGTGTCTTTGAGGACCATCCAAATGGTTCCTTGTTAATAGTTATAATATGACAATATTTTTGTTTCTGGAAATAATTAATTTGTCGCGGGGGGCGGGGGGACACCCTAGTCACCTCATTGGTATTTCATTTAAAGCAAGCAGCTGAAACTGGAACACTAGAAAGTATTCTAAAGCCTAGAGCTTGATCAGCTCTGTGAAGCTCAATAAGAATGTCTGTGCTGGGGTTAATAGGGGAGATTTACTCCAGGTGACCAGATAATTGACTTCTTTCCCCTCATATTCTTACAGCCTTTCTTCTTTACTCTCTCCAGATCTTGTTCAAGCTCATTGTGCTCTTTAGTCAAAGCTAGTAAGTATGCTTGAATTTAATCTTCAGATACATCTGCAATGGAATAAACCTAATTTTCACTTTTTGGGGTTGGATTTTGTGAGTCTGCCTTCCAGATGAACTTGGACTTTTGATCATGTAAATGGACATAGAAGGGAAATTAAAATGTTAAATCAGGAAATAAAATTCAAGTTTTTCAGCAGTTTGCCAGATGGATCTTCAGCAAGTTATCCTTGCCCTGTTTTCCAGATTCAGGTGGCTTCATGTAGAATACATCATTCGCTGAAATTCAACAAACATTTTTTGAGTGAAGCTCCAGGGCAGTAGTGGTAAACCAGGCAGACAAGGATTCCTGTCCTTGAGAGCTTACATCTTGCTGAAATTATCCACAGAATTCCCAAGGTGGAATAGTGAAATTCCACATCAGTTTCTTTTTTGGCCAGCTGTCTAGAGCTGCTTTTTGAAAAAAGTCAGAAACTACCTTTGAGTAGAGAGAGTAGAATACAAGCCAGGTTTTAAAATTATACAGCATGACATTATCTTTGTTGGCTTTGAGTTTGGTATGTAGAAAATAATGGATCTTTTTTCAGTAAATAAGAAACCTACTAGTGATTTCTACCTATTGTTATTTTCTCTTTTTAGTCTAAGATTTTGTGCTGAATTGCAGTAGGTTTTCTTAGTTTAGATTTTCTGAAATAATATTTCTTCTCTCTTCTTCTTTCTCCCTCCCTTTCTTATTGGCTGGTAGGATTAAAATTTATTCTGATATTATTTGGTTGATCACTAGCTACTTCCAGTCCTTTGGGAAGTAGCTAAATGTAAACATGGTTACCACATAGCCTGTATTTTTATTTTCTTTTATTTGTTTGTTTGTTTTTTCCTATATTTTTCAAGATAATCTCAATTTCAAGTGTTTTGTTCCATTTTTTTGGACACGGGGATTTTTTTTTTTTTTGAGTTTTCAAATCTGTTTTTATTTTATGAATGAAGAGTCACATTCTGCTTGAAAATCCAAGAGGCATTTTTCCAAAGCTACAAACAAAAGTAGTAAGTAAAGAGATGCAATGAAGGAAGACCACCCAGAAGCTCAGAGATAACTCATAATTTCAGACACTTAGTTTTTATTTTAGATAATAAATGGTCCTTTAGGTCAGTGCTCTTTAACCTGAGTCCATGAACCCTGATGAGCTTTAGAGAGGTGGTTTGTGAATCTCCTGAAACAAAAATGCCAAACTCTGTAGATATCTGTACCCTTTTCTCAGGAGAGCCTCATTTGCTTTCATCAGAATTTCAGAGGGCTTGGTGACTGCAAAAAGGTAATAACCACTGTTTTCTGTATAATTGAGATTTTAATTAATAGGAATAACATTTTTCCCTTCCTGACATATTTTGCAGAAAGTTAGAAGACTGTCCAGCTGTTTATTATTATTGGAGCAGTGAGCCCTTGAATCATCTGAAGTGTTATCTTGAGCCAACTTATATAGAAGTTAAATCAAAATAGCTTTAGTTTTTTATGTGATCTTAAAACAATCAAACTTTAACCTGTGAGTTCTTGCATTTACCCCATTGTTATGGTGAATTGTGTGCCCCTCCCTGCTTCATATGTTGAAGCCCCAAGCCCCAGTACCTGGAAATGCCCCTGAAATTAGCTGGTGGGCTCTAATCTAATCTAACTGGTGCCCTTAGAAGAAAAGGAAATTTGAACACAAAAGATCGATACAAGGGGCATGCATGAGCAGAGGAAAGAACAAGTGAGGATACAGTGAGAAGGCAGCCACCTGCAAGCCAAGGAAAAAAGCCTCAGATAAAAACAAAATTTGATGTCACTTTGATCTTGGACTTCTAGTTTCTAGAACTGTAAAAAGTAACTTTTCTGTTGTTCAAGCTACCTTAGCAAACTAATACACTCATGATGAAGTAGCAGTTCATTGACAGTAAAAAGTATAGCAAGGTAATTTAACTATTTCTCTTTGCCCCAGTACATTTTGGGGGAAATGATAAAATGTTGTATATAGCTTTACACTGTCTACTACCTGAATGAGATGGTACAGCCTACAAAATTTAGACATAGTATATTAATATTAACTCCTATTCTTACTGGTTTTATTCTTTATTGATTTGTTTATCATTATTTGCCTATGGTTATATTTTGTCTTCTATAGCATTTCTCATTCTATGGAACTAATTTTTTTTTTTTTATCCTCACCCAAGGACATTTTTTCACTTTTTGTTCAGATAGAGTGGGAGGGAGAGAGAGAGAGACATTGACGTGAAAGGGACACATCAAGTGGTTGCTACCTGCACTACCCAATCAGGGCTGGGGACAAACTGCAACTGAGATACGTGCCCTTAGTGGGAACCGAACCCAGGTCTCTCTGGACCGCAGGCCGACGCTCTAACCACTGAGCAAAACCAGCCAGGGCTGTGGAACTAATTTTTATAAATAAGTCTATTATAAATCAACAGCAGAACAGTATCTTTCTGTATTCTCCCGTGTGTGTTTTGTGCAGTCATTCCAGCCCAGTCTTGTTATCCGATAATGCCATCTGTCCTCACGCCTCTTCCAGACTGTCAGTTTTGACAGTACAAGCATACCTTGGAGATATCGTGGGTTCAGTTCCAGACCACCGCAATAAAGCAAATTGTAATCTTTTTGCTGGTGGAGGGTGGGGGCTTGCCTTCAGTTTGTAAGAAGCATAATAAAACAAAGTACAATAAAACGAGGTATTTCTGTATATTTAATTTTTGGTGTTTCTCTTTGCCAAGAATAAAAGTTGAATGTTTCTAGTGATGTCTGCTTCTGTTGCTGAATTGATTCAGCGCCTTGGAAACTTTAGATTTGGAAATGAATAAAAGGCTGAGGGATGAATGTGTTTGTCAAGTTTGTCATGAGGGCAGGAATTCCATCACTTTTGTTCATGCTGAAGCACAATCAATACCTAACACAAATAGCTATTCTATTCTTACTTGTTTGTATCTCTTCTTTCTTTCTTTTGTTAACCCTCACCCGAGGATATTTTTCCATTGATTTTTTTTAGATAGAATAGGAGGGAGGGAGGGGGAGAGAGAGAGAGACAGACATTGATGTGAGAGCAACACATCGATTGGTTGCCTTCCACATGACCCTGACTGGGGCTGGTGATGTGCCCTTAACCAGGAATCGAACCCTTGACTCTTCAGTCTGTGGGCCAACACTCTAACCACTGAGCAAAACTGGCCAGGGCTGTTTCTATCTTTTATCTCTAGTTCTACATTGATTTCTTTCCTTAGGCATAAAACAACTCGTTTTAAACAACAAGACCTTTGCCATAAAACTGACATGATTTTCTTGGTGGTAGCAGTGTAAGCCCTACCCCTTTGGAGAGTGGTTGGGCAAGATATATCCAGTCATAAAAATACTCAAGCTATGACAGGAATTCCACTTCTGGGAAACCTCTAAAGATATACCCTTAAATACATAAGAGATTTTATCCATGAAGATGTTACATTATAATGTCCAGGGTTGGAGGGAATGGTTTAATAAATTCTGGCACTTACATATTTATAGTTGATAGTCGTGAAGCCCATGTAATAACATGGAAAATACTTGTGATAAGTACAGCATTGTATGTACAATATGATTATAACCATGTTAAGTAAATGCATACATCTAGTTATTTCCAGAGGATGAGACTTATAAGGGCTCTTTTAACCCCATGACTTATTTTTAGATTCTAGATATGCAAAGCTGGTTCTAGAGGCCCAAAATTTACCCTGAATTGAGAGCTCTTTATACCTTGTTATAATCATATTTTTTATATTTGGCTTTAGGAATTCCAGGTTTAGTCAAATTCTGCAGAATGGTGCAGTTGTAGGGTACTAAGATGAAGACAGACCTTTTGTGTACTCAAGGAGTAGTTTTAGATGAGAGAAAAGACAAGTACAAAAACCCCACTGTGATTTTTTTTTGGGGGGGGGTCCAGTAACATGACAATTTGGGCTTTTTCGTGCCTACTGATTAGTTTTCTGCAGTATAGATTTCTCACATTTACCCCTTAGAAATACTAATTTTTAACTCTGATATTCAAATTGGCTTTGGTAAGTTATAAAACCAGGTCCCAAAGCATTAATTTTTTTCCTCAGTTTTCTGTTGACCATAAACATTATTTCTTTTCAAGTGATAATTCTTGACAAAGTATATACCTTGACCAGCCAGTATAGACTGCTACTCCTGTCTTGGTTCAACAGATACTAGAAGAGTGTGGTAGGAGGAAGAGTAATTAATTACTGAACAGCTGGGCAGTCAGGACTGTGGTTTTAGGCTTTTGTTTGGTAAACATCATGAGTCCTAGTTCTGAAGTAATCCCCCACCCCATCCACTCCCACCCAGGATTGCTGGCAAAAATCTTAACTTGCCTGTTCTTTTGTCTGCATTGATATTGCAAACAAACTGTTTTGCTTGGTGCCTTAATATTTGCTACCTTGAATTTTGACTTTTTAAAAATCTCCTTTCTTTTTTTTGATAAGCCATTTTAAAATTCAGTTAACCTGTTATGGTGCTAATGAGCCAGCCTACAACAGCTGGCTATGTTAGGTACTTGGCTCAAGATCGGGGCACCCGCCTTGGCCAGTAGCTCAGTAGGTTAGAGCATCATGCCCATATACCAAGGTTGTGGGTTTGATCCCTAGTCAGGGCACATATATGAATCAACCAGTGAATGCATAAATAAGTGGAACAATAAAATCGATATTTCTCTCTCTCTCACTCGCTCTCCCTCTCTCCCCGTCTTTCCCACTATTTAAACATCAATTAAAAAAAAAAAAAGATTGAGGCACTCAACCTCAGGGGTGTGTGTATATGTTGGCAGACAAGCTCAGTGTGGTGTTGCATTGATGCTGTAGAGTTAGTGGCTATTCTCTTATTTTTTCATATATCTTTACTTGGCACCTAATGGATGTTTGAACTGTGTTCGTGGCCAGATGATATTCTTATGTCCGAGTTACATTTTGGTCAAATAGGGCATATGTAGTAACAGTTTGGTATGTGAAAGAGTAAATGTTTTCTTTTCCTTTGTTTGCTGTAAGAAATATTAGGATAGGAAAAATAAGCAAGAATGTTTTAACAGGAATGCTGAATGTCTCAAAATCTGTGGAGGCAGAATTTTCTTGGTAATAATATACTTGTCAAAATATATTAATGATTTTAGGGGAACTAAACTTTTTTTAATTGGGTTTCATTTGGATTTTGATGTTCATTCTAGTCGGGGCTACCAAATTGTCGATGTCTCCTCTGATTAGGTAGCAATAAACTGTGATATGCCAGAGTGTTTTTTGTGAGTGTTTGGTATTATGTTACAGAAGCAATAGGAATTAACTTTGTGAACTACTGGGTTAACTTAGATAAACATGGTAAATTGAACCAAAATTAAATACTTCAAGTTGTCTCTGTTCCCCAGAAATTTCATAATTTGTAACAGCCTGAACAAGTGTTCTTTCCTCCAGGCCTTCTCCTTTTCTCCCTACTCCAAGAGGAGGAGGGAGGGGGAACCCATGCAGACTAGCATATCACTAATTCAGTGTTTTGCAATACTGTTAAATTGTGTTAGGTATCACTTTTGTTGTAATCACAGTAGGATAGCAAAATAGTGGCTACCATTCCCAACCTGCAATATTCCTTTTCAGTATGTTTTATATACTTCGTTGCCCCATGAAGCTTATCATAACCTTTATTTTTTGGAAGTTAACTTTGTTTGGTCTTTAATCATGATATAGAATCTATATTATAGATACCCATGAAGCAGGTATGTGCTGTACTTAAATTTACCATTGTGAATTCTAAGAAGGATGAAAGCTGTGAGCAGTGAGTTCTTGAAAACCTTGCATGTGTGTTTCCAAAGGCTACTGTCTCTATTATTCAGTATCTATTAACAGACAATAAAGGATTTTCCCATTAAATTGTGTACTACTAACCATCCAAAACTCTTGTGGCAAAATTCAGAATTCCCATGAAATTGTTTTAGAGAATACTCCTTTAAAAGAAAAAAAGGAGTGAACTAACTCCCTGAAGTAAGTCAGCCCCAATAATTTGGAGCTCAGTTTGAGAAATACCATCTTTTCTGACTTAGAGTATGTTTTGTTGTTTTGTTAAGGTGCTTTGTTAGGGTTGGATGTGTTCTGTCAGTGCCCAGAGGCCTCTGGAGGAAAGTCTTTTCTGTCACCTCTGCCTGTGTTCACACCTCCTGGTCTTGGCACTTTTTCCACTTTACTAGCTGTGGAAGCAGTTTCTACCTACCCTTATATAAGTATGTATAGCTTTCTATGTGATAGAACATGTCTGCTTTAATTCATCACAGTTCTGTGTAGAGGTTTTATATGGCACTTAAGGAAAATTGACCCAATTTGAAAGATAAAGGCTCTTTGAATAGATGCTGTCAGAATTATTTAATTTTGTGTTATAACTGAACCTAAGGTTTTATATGCTTTTTTAATATATATATATATATATATATATATATATATATATCAAGGAAGGTATAATAGATCCAGGAGATTCTTATCTAATTCA